TCTGACTCTTAACCTGCCCACAGGGAGTATTTAAAATTACTTTTTCAAAAAAAATTAACTTTTTCCACTTAAATTTTTTAAATGTTCCGGAAAGTCTGACACTTTTATCTATATCTTAAATTAAAGCTAATGTAATGTACTCTTTTATTTAAAAACATTTCCGACTTTATTTTATCTTCACGGTGAAAATGGCTACCGAATGCTATTTTTGTGTGAAAATTTTCGATATTGTATTTAAAATTTTTAACTTTATTATGCTATAACTTTTTGAAAAATGAATGGATCAATACAATTTTTTCATGAGAAGTATTATTTATATACATCTTTCATTCGACATACTGTTTTTTTTAAATCGGATCATTTCCCTATAAACGAGAGGGGTTCAAATATAAAAAATGCATGTAGAAAGTAGAACTTTTTCAACTTAACTTTTGAAAGTGTTCAGAAAAGTCTGACACTTCTATATATATTTTAAATTAAAGCTAATGTAATATACTTTATTATGGTAAAAAAAAATTTCTGACTTTATTTTGTCTTCATGGTGAAAACAGACATCAAAGTTAATAAGAAAAATACGATTTTTGTAAAAAAATTCTTTTTTATATTTTTAACTTTATAATGCTATAACTTTTTGAAAGATGTATGGATCAATATAACTCTTTTTTTTATAGATGCATGATGTCTTTACCTATCATTTGGTATATATTTTTTTATAAATCTGTCTTTTTACCTGCCTACAGGGGGGGATTCAAAATGACAACTTTTTCACAAAAAATTTACTTTTTCAACTTAAATTTTGAAAGTGTTCCGGAAAGTCTAACACTTTTATATATATCTTAAATTAAAGCTAATGTAATGTACTTTATTATGTAAAAATAATTTCGGACTTTATTTTGTCTTCACGGTGAAAATGGCTACCGAATTCTATTATTGTGTGAAAATTCTCGATTTTTTTTATATTTTTAACTTTATAATGCTATAACTTATTGAAAAATGTATGGATCAACATAATTATTCTATGTGAAATACTATTTTTTAATAATCCCTTTTTCATTCGACATACTTTATCTTAATCAGGATATTAATAAGGAACTATCAGATTATGTAGCTTTTGGAATAATCCACCAATTTTTTAAAATTAAACACTATCTAAAAATTTGCATCGAAGCGTTTTTTTTTTTGATAGTGATTTTAATCACTGTCAGATATCATTATACTTGATCCAACTATGCCACGTCACCACTGTGCCGCGACCCCCTGTGCTGTTTTTTTTATAATACTGTAATAATTAGTATACTTTATACGAAAACAATTTGTTTTTAACCAACCAATGGTAAAATTTTGAACTTGTAAGATTCATTGAATGGGATACTGTCTAAGGAGGAGTGGAGAGAGCCCCCCCACAAACCTTTCATGGGAAACAAATTATGGAAAATGATACAAGGGCCCAAAATTGTTGGCCCCTCCAATAAATGTTTTCTGGCTACGTGCCTGAATACTGGTCATATATATGTGACACGAGTTTAGTTCAGCTAGGATATTTTTTTTGAAATTTTTGCGGAATTATCACACAATAGCCCCCTTAATGAACACCCATGTTTCAAAGATAATTCAATTTTATGAGTGACATACGGTTTTAGCTCGTTGTTAAGTGTGAACTCGTCACTCCATTCATCTGTTTTTGTCACGTGTAGGAATCTTGACGTAATTTGATCTCTATTTATTTCAATTTTAATGTTAGACTAGTCTAATGGGAACGGTGAATTTTCATGAATACAATTTAAATTATGCTATTGTCATCGTCTCAGGTATTGCTATTAAGATAATCAATTTTGATTATTGAAAGAAAATGAGCCATATTTTTTTCAAATTAATGTACTTGTTGTCAAAATCAAATGATGATAAAACATCTAAATTCTCTATTAATAAATGAATTGTAAATGGTTTAAGTCTATTTTGAGAATTAGTTTCTATCAAACTAAAAATTTATCAGATAAATTGTATACGACTGCCTGATCATCTACTGCTTTACTAGAATTTTCAGTTAAAAATTTAGTGCACGAATGGTTATCATAATTCTGCTTAAAACTCTTACCATTTTTCTATATGGGAGTCAATAGACCTTTTAAATTGCATATATTGCAGCTGTAGTCAATGTAGTCAATGTATCGACAGTATCTTTATAGATGGTCTGAACGACTGAACACACTCCACACTTTGGTTTATCCGATGGTTCACGATTGACCTGTTTACTTTTGTTGTAATAGCCTTGTTACTATTATAATATAAAATAACAGTGGGCTACTCGTGTCCACAATAATAGTTTTTCATTTAAGATTATTAACACTTATTTATAAATTATATTCATATGCTTAAAATAACATGATTGTTTTTAAATAAATAACTTAGAGAAATATTTAACAAACACATACTGTCGTTTAATTATATTATATTACACACAATTAAGCTATGAGTCAATTATTAGTCATCTTTAAAAATCACTCTTCAAGAAATTTATAAATTATACTTGTTAGTTCTTTTTACTCTTATCGTAATAAATAAACACTATGTGTCAACCGTGGTCTTAAATGTTAAAACAAACTATATTAACGTTATATAAAAATGATTTGTATATTATCCACATGTATTAATTTATATATTTTATTCTTTTTATGTATTAATTTATAAATTTCAAATTTTATGCTTACTTATCAAAAAACGATAACTTTACATGAATGACACAATGATGATTATTCGGGGATACAAAATACTATAAAAATCAGAGTAATCCTTCTCAGTCAGTGCTAAGGGATTGTGGGAGTCTGTCTCTAGATATCCAAAGAACTGTTATAATCGCGCTCTCGACCTCGATACGGAAAGTTCGTAATCATCATTGTCGAAATTCTCACGTGTTAATTTATGAACTAAACATTTGAGTTGGTGTTGTTTTATTATTACTTGATACTATTGAAAGTTATTATAAGAACAAAGAAAAATCATCGGGTAAGATTTCAAATCAATAACAATCAATAACAGTCAATACTTATATTATATTATAATTCAATTATTTAGAATTAATAATCTGAGTACAGAACGATGGAGCAATAGATCAAATAATTATATTAATCCTTAAACTTCAATTAATTATTACTGACTAGTTCGTACCTTATACATAATCACATTACATGATATTCGTGAGATGGCCACCGCCTCTTCGTTACCTCAGTGTATCATTACCGATACTTACCAGTTGGGTCATTTATAATATCTCTATAAAAGGAACTTTAATTATTTTTTTTTATATCTACTTGTCCTTATTGTTCTAAACCCTCGGACTCTACAACCCTGATATAACCTATTTTTATCTTTATTTTTGTATTATTACATTTTGGTGAAGTTGTTTTTGTTAGTTGAGTTCCGATTCATGCTGTTTTCAAGTATTTTTATTTCTCACGTGGTAGCTTCCTTAATATTTGCTATGTCCATTAGATTCGCATATGTGGATTTTAGATCAAATGCGTCTTCTCCTATTAGCCGGTATTTTTCCAGCACTCATTCCTACTATGAATATATCTTGTATGATATGTGGTTAATTCTGACAAGAATTTGCATTTCGATCCAAGATTTTTGACACGCGTACCCCATTTTGCCACCATTTGATCAGTATATTGTTTTGCCAGGTAAAATATATTCCTAGCTGCGAAATATGATTTAACTAGATTGTAGTATTGATTTAGAAGCTTTATCAATGTACTGTGTGCTTGAGTGTCTGGTGTGCTAAGTACACATAAGCTAAATAAAAATTTATGAATGTCTTCACTGACAGACGATAGCAATATGGCTTTCTTTTGTATTTCATTTTCGATTTCATTCGCTGATAAGAAATTTGTCAATTTTGACTGGAAAATGGTGATACTCATTTCCAGTTCAATTGTGCTCGGAGTACCAATAACTTGATTAAAACTCAATGTTGGTTTCGTGTCAGTCATTTTGGTTCAATATGGCAATTTTCACTGCACTTTGTTTTTTATAAAAATTTATGATTTATATTTAATAGTTATTGAAATCACTTATTTAGATAGTATGATTTAAGAAACGTGTTCCTCGTCGCCAATTTGTTGTGTGTTTAATATGAAAGACAACATCAAATAGTAAACAGAAAATAAGTCTTTATTGCGTTTCAATATAATTATAATATAATCAACAATATAATTGTTAATGATGTGTGTGTGTGCAGTTTATCGCACTCAGAGTAGTGGACAATCCGCACAACTAGAATCCGTAAGGGCCGTGTTTCAACGAGTATTATATCTGTTATGAGGTAGCAGCTCTGTCTTGAACTATGTTGTCTATCATGCCTAATACATAGCTTACATATTTTTATTAAATACAATGGAACATAAAGGAAGAATTATATCAGAATAATTTTTCATACCTATTCACAACAGATAGAAATTTAAAAAATCACGATTTTAATTTTCACTATTGATGACTCAGTCAAGTGAATTAATGTTTTATATTTCTCGAAATAAAAACAAACAATTTTTATAAATTTAATTCTATTTTATAATTCTAATTTAACATTATTGGTTTTGTTAGTAAAATCTTCAATTAGATTTAATATCTCATTTAAATTAGAATTGTAAGTAACCAAATATGTATAATAAACAGCAGCACAATATTTTGCGAAAGGTTCTTCGTAATAACCATTATGTATGTAATTCTTTATATCAATAACCATTTCATTTGGAGTTGTAATACCTAAAATTACTTTAAATAGACGTTTTATTGTAAATATCCGAAATTGATTTTTGTAATTTTGTGTTGACATTTCTTCTGAAAATTTTAATAATACTGTTTGTATGAAATTTTGTTTATAATAATCTATTTACTTTTACTTAGATATGATTTTGTATAGGCACAGTTTACTCAGAATGTTAAAAATGTCAGTTAATTATGTTATATTATATATTAATAAATAGTGTATAAAGTTTAATTACTTCTATCGCATTCATCAACTTCTTGAAAAGCGCTATAATTTTCTAGGCAATTACACATTACATCAAATGCTTTTTCAAAACGTAAATACATCATAACATTCAAATCGTCAGTATCCTCGAACTAAATATGTTTAATATTATTAAAAAGAGATGTCAAATCAGTAGTGTAATAAATAACTATAACTATATTGTAAATAATTACAATATAGTTTAATAAACGTGTGATATGATTGAAAGCCTGTTAATATTACAACTTGACAAATTACTGATTAAAATTGTATACTCGCTAGATGGTGTTACATGGCCATTTAGGGGTTGAGCCTAAATGCCCGTCAACAGTATTCTAAGGGACCAACTAAGTAGGATAGATGGCTAGGCTATATCTAAGATATATTAAATAAATAGTACAACCTGATGGACATCTAGAGATGATAATAATCCAACAGGGAGCTGACGGCCACACACACACACTCTATACGCGGTAGGTAATTTAAGTTAAGTATAAGACCAGAGCAAGAATAATCGTCGCGTTGATGGTAAAAGGTAAACTAATGATCGGGACATTCATATTATGGCCGTGAATCCCGAAAGTGCTTATGTGTGCAGTCCTCCTGTTGGTATTGTTGTATGTCACTGTGTCAATTATATATATATATATTAGACATATATATTACGTAAGTCTAATAAACGGTAAAGTAATGTTATGGGAGACAGAGATATGGGCACATGCAAATGTGATCGTATCAATGGTTATCATAAAATAAACTTAATTTTAAATAATAATATTTAGATCTTTACTACACTATTTTTGCTTTTAAAATTAAATTAAAGTTATTTATTTAAAAGAAGACTGATTAGCGAGTAAAAATTAAGTAAATAATATCGTAACTGTCAACTATATGTGTTGTAATTTATCAAAATAAGTTTTCTACTGCTGCAAATTATAATGAAAATGTGTCATTTTTATTAATAATAAATTTTTAGCGAATTAAAATGAAATTAAAGATTACATTATATATTATTAAATACTATAATTATTTGGAAAAAAAATTGAAAATTGCATAATTGAATATAATGTAGGAAATATGTATTTACATTCTTATCATTTGGAAAGAAATTGACTTTATAAAATGTAACCTGTTTTTTATTGAATTGTTACAATAATATTAAAACAAAAAATATAGTTTTGTTATTTTGTAAATATTTGAAGTTTTTTACCATGGGCTGTTTTACATCAAACAAATTTGAGTAGAATAAAATACAACACTTTTTAAACTCTTCTGTAACATATGAATCATCTAATTTTAAAAATTCTATTATTTTTGTACTCATATCATTTGGGTGTATTTCTCGGGTAACGATATTGTCCCTCAGCGTACTTAAAAATACATTAAATGTGTCTGAAAATTCATTAAAAAATAATTGTATAAATCTATTTTTACACACAAATCTAAAGAATATTGGAAAATTAAATTAAATTATAAAACCATGGAAATTTTCAACAAATAATAATAAATGAATCATACAGAAAAAATTAATTCAAAATAATTTAACTTTATTACCTCTATCTATGTAATTATTTATGTCTAATTTAACAACGCAATTATAGAATTCATTTTGTGCTTCTTGTAAATTATTCGATGACAAACTTTTTATAATATCAAGAAATTCGGCTTCGGCTGATGTTAAATATATTAGTCCCTATGAAAAAAAATCTATAAAGTTTTTTATATGAATAGACAAAATAATATTGATCAAGATTTGTTATTTCGAATCTAATATGCTGAAAAAGTTTTATAATATTAATTGTTATTGTGATGGCGTCAGTCCTTTCATTACATCGTCTCCTTATCAATTCTTACATAGCCACAAAACTACTTGCACCATTTTTACAAATTGCTCTTTAAAAATAATGACAATAATAAAACATAGCTGTCGAACTATAATAACACTAAGTATTTGAAGCTATACAAATAAATAAATGTATAATTTTAATTTTGCCAATTATTGGACAAATTTACCAAATATATTATTTTTATCACAGCAATCGTTTTTTCATAAAATTAAAGATGTGGCAGAGTTATTTTAAAAAGCTTTGAATTGTAACATGTTATAAAAATAGTTTTCTAGAACATTATCATCAATTAAAAAATGTATTTTTATGAAAATTTTTGGCATTTTTTTAATAGAAATTTTTCTGACTATGATTTTACTTAGAGATAAAGTTTGGAGATCATTTTTTTAATCAATAGTACATTTATAAATCTTTTATATGATGTGTCAGAAAAGATGTCAAGTTTTCCGGTACATTACAAAAATTGAATTGAAAAAAAAATTTACAAAATATTTTTATCTTCACTGATTATTCAACTATTTATTGGATTTCTAAAAAAAATTATATCTGTAGAGAAATTAAATACCTATAGCATTATCAATTATAATTTGAAATTTATCCATCAATTTTATAAAAACTGGTAGTCATTTGAAAATGAGAAAAATAGTAAAAATTGCCATTTTTAGCGATTGTACTCTGTTGATATATTTTCGTAAATATGAATAAATATTTTAGATTTGTATTTATTTTAAAATTTGGCTTTCATAAAACGAAACATGTATATAATGGAATGTTTAGGGTAATTTATACTTATTCTTTTTACTTACAGTAGTAAAAAATACTTGAAATAGCAAATACATATTTTTTCCAAAGTAATAGATCTAAAAACATGATAAATTAATTTTTTTATTTTTAATAATTTATCGTATAAATGATATTGAAAAACTAGTGAATACAAAAATGTGAAAATATCACGATAAAATATTATACATTTTAATCTGCTGAGTTGTTATTCATAACTTCAAATAGGTTGTATTATATATGATTAAATAATACAAACAAAAAATAAAATATAGATGGATATTGAATGGTGCTCTAAAGTTATATAAAATTAGATTTTTAGTGTATGAAATTAGCAATTTATCATATTATAATATGTAAAATGTTTTATATACACACTCTAAAAAGGATGATTAATTTATCGTTATCAATAGATTTATTTTTAAGAAATAATAATTTTGAGATATTGTTTAGTTTAATAAATAGTACCTATTTCTTGATTACAAGTCATTAAACATTTGTTAGGCCTATTCATTATATCTAATAAGGATTCCAATTTTATTATTTTTAACTATTACTTAAATATTTAAATAAATTACATTACTATAATTTAATCTATTCAAATATATAATTTAACAAATGCAATTAAAAGAAAACGGCTGGCAATAACAATTCCTTACCTCAATTCCTTCAGTCTGTATAAAAAAGTAATAATTTTCAAAATACTAATCCAGATGTGGTTATAATGCAGCAATTTCTTAGTTTGATAATTTTCTAACTTTTAATCTATTAAACTTAGTAACCTACAAAGTTTTTATTTAAATACATTAAGTGGGCATGCACAAATGAAATGTTAATTTTATCTATTCTATTCTGTATCTAACACATTTTTATTGTATAGTTACCTGAATTTTTATATGAATATTTAAGCTGCGAATAATGTAATTGTATGTATTTAGCTTAACAAATAAATTAAATTCGTTATTGTTTAACGTTTTATATATTCTGGCTTTCAAGGGATATTTTTTTTTAAAAAGTCTAATAATAAATAATTAAACTTCTATAAATATATACCTATAAAATATTTTTAAAATAGTTTTTCTTTTAAACGACTGTTTTCAACGTTATTTAAAACTTTGATATGTTTTATATTTGTTATAATACACTCATTATTCATTTCTCTATAAATCAGTGTCTATTAGTCATCAAATTAAATATATTTGATAATATTCTGAGAAAAATGTATGAAAATGCATTGGTAAAAAGGTAATGTAATAGATATAAAAAATTCTTTAGTTGATACGAAACAGTTATTTTAAGTAAAATAATTTATAAAATAAACAGATAATAGTAAAAGGTCGTAAAACTTCTTGCATTTATAATAGATGGGTTAAAATTATTGTATAAGGGATGAAAAAGTGTTTCTTTTGCTGACTCCTTTTTCACTTTATGATCCTTCTACAAGTGCAAAAAGTAGTCTGGCATATACTATAAAGTCACAAAAAAACCCAATTATATTTATTTCAACCTTGTTTCTCAGCCACGAAGGTAAACTTACATTTCACAGAATGTTATAAGGTTTAAAAGTAAGTATAATGAGTACAAAAATTAAGTAGTAACACGGCCTACTCGTGCCTTCTTTATCAGTCGTTTCCCTACTATGAGTATTTGACTGACCAACACCGCGTTGCATACGCCACGGTGCAAAGTCCAGCAAGTGCCGCACGGAATACGCCGCAAATGATACGTTGAGTCTCCTTGCCGTTGTCCAACTGAAGATGTACGCCACCGGCTCCGGACGTGCACCACGACCGATCCAATCAGCACCCGCGCGCCATCGCCATCGACGCTGCTAACTTGTTGACGCCGGAGGATCAGACCGGACACCGCGTCGCTGACGCCAGCGAAAGTACCGCGATATTATGCGAAGATTATTATTAACTGTGTTCATCTTTTCGGTTTGTTTTTTAAATAACCTGTTGTTGTTGAATAATAAACGGCCCACCGGTCTCTACCCTCAAAACCAGTGTCGACTACATTATTGTAACGTAAGTCGTGTCAGTAGGAAATCAAAAAAATTAAGTGAATTACTAGAATAAGTTTTTGTTTATATGAATAAAATCGATAACGCATGTACAAGGTTATAAGGTATAACAACCCCAGTCTTGACCAATTTTTGTGTGGATTACTTATGTGGTAAACTCTCTTGCGAAGATAGAGAACCCAGTCGAGGTTTATATGCTATTCGATGTATTTATTAGTATGACTCACAGTCAACACAAGCTTAGATAAGCGATGGTACGAGTAGCATTAATGATCCTTTAAGTGTAATAATCAACCACAATAATTTCAAATTGTTATTATATTAATAAATTTTCATTCGTCATTTTGTTTTCCTATATTTTACATTTTATCATAAACCCTCGTACTCATACCCCGATGTATAATTTTATTTAATAAAAACATTGTAACTCAATCACTCTCATACAAAACCAATCACAAATAGCCATATACTTTAATTTTACTGATTAAACCCTGTTTAATAGAGAAAAATTAATTAATATATTTTTATAACTTTTGAAAACTTTCTAGATATACTGCGTCTTTTAAGGTTATATTAAATTAAAGTTAATGATACATACTATAGATTAAAGATAAAAATTTGTCCCGACATCTTATTTTTTATGTGCAAATGGTGGCCATAGTTAGAAAAACATGATCTTGTGTTAAAATTTTTTATATTATATTTTATTTTTCCAATAGTCGTTACTTTTTGAAATAATACGAATAAAAACATGTTTTTTTTTTGTAAGTACTTTATACAAATCCTTTTTATCCGACATACATTTTTTAAATTGAAATATTGCACAAATAGTGATTACCGTAACGGGTTCACCTTTTTTCATAGATGATATATGAATGTAAATGTATAACATTTAAAGTTAAACTTATTTTGGTTTTTTTCCAATGTCTACTTCCTTAGTTGAGAAAAACGACCTTCTGAACTAACATAAATTTTCGATTTTATAATTCTGGAAGTGCATTGTACAATTATCGGAATTAGAGAGAAAACTTTTTACTTTTTTTATAACGGTCCAGTCGGGTTCCAAAACTTATTTTAATTTATGTATCTATTTTATTCGGAAAGGTCCCATCTAACAATAACATTTTTTTTTTTAATAAACTAAATAAATATTATAATTTATAAATATAAAAAAAATCATAATTTAACGAAAAATGGGGGCGGTATCGTTAAAAAATCACAGAATATATATGTTGATGTATTGTTTGTAATTTCTATCAAATCAAAATTATATTTCAAATTAGTTTTAATGAAATTTAATTGACGGTAATTGAGACATCATCTGTATTTAATAAAATCTTACAAAATAAAATTAAAATTAAAATAACAAATCTCTTTTAGGTGTTAGACTTATACTAGAATCAAATTTCTGTTATTTTTTTTTTTAATAATCATGGAGAAACTTAAGTTTAATCTACTAATAAAAATTTCAAATTTTTAATTCAAATCTGTATATTAGACAATAGATTCCATCGGAAATTACGAATTTTACTTGTTATATTATTTTCATTCAAAACTCGTTTATTATCAAGTGGTTATTATAGTTAACAATCAGCCTAGTGAATTAATTTGTATATTTTTTGAAATAAAAACATATATTTTTCATTAATTGAATTTTATTTTATAAATTCGAATTGAAATTATTGGTTTTTATAGTAAATTCTTAAAATACTTTCACAAATATTCAAAAAATCAACATGATATTAAAAAATCTTGTTTGATATAACCGTCTGTTTTTTTAAAGATTTCAATATCTTTCAATAAATTCTTTAAATCGTCAACGTTAGAAATCAAACTTGTGTAATAAACAGCACTACAATAAGTTGCGAAAGGATCAGTGTCAATATATTGATGTAAGTACTCTTTTATTTCAATAACCATTTCATTTGGAGTAATATCACCAGATATGACTTTATTCAAATAATATATTGTATATTCCCGTAAATATTGTTGACGTTTCTTTTGTGAATATTCTTCTGAAAATTTTAATTTTAAATTAATTAAATAATAATGTTTTGATAAAATTAAGTTTATATTTATTTATTTACCCCTACATGAATATGGTTCCGGTTTATCGTGTAATCCTAAGCACGTTTAAAATATTAATTATTTATTTATATTGAATAAATAGCGTAAAAAGTTGACTTACTGGCATCTTCGATAAGTTTTTCTGTAGTGTTATAGTATTCTAGACAATCACACATTGTATCGAATGATTTTGCAAACCGCAAATATATTACAATATTCATATCGTCACTTTCCTCGAACTAAAAATGTTTTTTGCAATTAAAAAGAGATATTAAAAGATATGTGTAATGTAAATATTTTTAATATAGTTTAATAAATCTGTGATATGATTGGGAAGTCAGTTAATATTGAAATTCGGCGTAATAATGATTGTTAAGTTCTATAGTAGCTAAATATAAAAAAATATCCTTAACATTATATTACACAAATTTAACACTTTAATACACTTTTGTATTGTTTTTCTTGCTTTTTAATTATATTAAGTTCAGAAGAGATTTATTAGCAAGTTAAATAGATTTTATTGAATTTCGTGGGTTTGGATGCAAAAAGTTTTATGGAAGTATTCTGTAAAAATCTCTTTTTTCTTTATTTAGACTATAAATTTTAACGCTTTTCTAGCTTGTAAGTAGTTCAATACGTTAAAAATAAATAAAGTTAAAATGAGGTACAATTAAATTGCTGTTTACTCATACATATTAAGTTATTAAACGATATTAAATAATTTAAAAAATATTTGTTTTGTTTAATTATAGAACAAACAAAAGTTGGGTCATAAATGTTTATGAATTTTTTTACCCTTAGTATTTTTCTATCATCAATATTTTAGTCACAAATTGAGCATTTGTAAAATTACGTTTCTTTTTTCAAAATATTGTTTATCGCGTTACTTGTAATTGACATAATTCCTATTAATGTGAAAAATGTAATAAGTCATAAAATCGTTAAAACCCAAAACAATAAACAATATTTTAGTATTTTTAATTTATCATAACATTTTCTATTGGCGTAATTAATAATATTGAACGTGAAAAAAAAAGTTATAGAAAAAAATTCAGCTTTACCTTTTTTATAAATGTATTAAATTTCAATTTTAAAAGTTTATATCAAAAAAGAAACTTTATTGATTGGTTTCAAAATTTGTATAAATTATCATTAGGATGCTATAAATATTGTTCGTGAAAATCATACAAATTTTTTTCGCACTCTATGTGCTTTTTAAATGTCAAATTTTTTTAAGTAAAACACATACTAACATACTACAGTAAAATCTTGAAAGTTATTTTATTTTCAGTTTTGACCTACTTAGGATAGTACTAAGTTTGTATTTGAAAAATACGAATTTTACTATTAACTGAAATTAAATGAATAAATTTGTAACAATCAAATCGAAAATAAAAAATAGGTTGATGACGACAAAACGGTCGAAATATCGATTTTTTTTACAACCGTAAGGTTGGTCAATACCAATTGAATTGGTATATCCTAGGGAAATTTAAGTGCAGTGGTTTCCTGTTGCCTTCTGCACTGGGAATGTGGTGCTCTTCGCTACCACAGAAGCGCATGTATGGTCACCCATCCGTTCACCTACGGCAATTGAGATCACTTTTGAAGCCCTGAATTAAATATAGAATTCAAAATTCTTTTGTCCAGTTTATTTTTTCAAACTAGCCGCGACTCCGTGTTGTCATTGGTAAACATCAATGCTACGCTTTTTTAAATTTCTGCGCATAGAACTGATTTATTTATCTTCCTGAAAATTCGGAAGTCTATAAATCGATGAGTAGATCGATGGACATTTTTAAACGTCATTAAACATTTTGATATTAAAATACAAAGTAAGTAAATTTATATTAACCCAATTATTTAGAACTAATAATCTGAGTAAAGATCAATAAAGCAATAGATCAATACTCTCTTTAGTAAATTTAGTAAATTGTTCGCACTTCATACATATACACATTAAATGGTCTCAAAGGTCGATTGCCGTTCCGTTTCTAAAAAGAGTGTAAAATCCTAATAAAATCTGACTGTATTAATAAACACTTCGACTGGGTACTCGTGGGTCGGATTATCGACTCGTTGCCATAGTGTCTTATTAAAGGTGCTTATCAATTAATTAGTTTTTAGACTCTACAACCCCGATAGAACCTCGTTACTCACTAATTTACCAAATTCCCAAATATCCAAACTTGGTTAATATACCTATATACAACCCACATCATTTACGCTTATTTTTAATACTACAATAATTTATTGATTGTTAATCTACATTAAAATAAAATTATTTTGTATTTTCAAAAAACTTCAACTAATAAATAAGAACTAAAGAAAAATTGTTCTTTTATTTAACAAGAATGTTAAATAAAAAATGTGAAAAATTGCTAATACTCAAATTGTGGCTAAAACATTAACGACAGAGAAAAATATTCGGAATCAGCGTTAAAGAAGTTATCAATAAAATAAAAACAATTTTTATAAACTTTCCATTACCAACATCTTGTCGATCTAAATAGCACTTAAAAATGTATGATGGAATTTAAAAATGGAGGTATCATTTGCATTCTTAACACTTGGAAAGAAATTGAATTTTAATAATGTTACTTGATTTTATTGAATTGTTAAAATAATATGAAAAACAAATTGTGTTGTTACAAAAGATTTGTAATTTTTTACCATGGGTTTTTCAACTTTGAACAAACTTGAGTGGAAAATAGTACAACAATTTTCAAACTCTTCTGAATTATAGAATTTATTTAAATTTAAAAATTTTAATATTTTTATACTCGTTTCACTTGGATGTATTTCACGGAAAATTATGTCATCCTTCAATGTAGTTAAAAATTCATTAAATATATCTGTAAAATAATAATCAATTAGTATTGATAAATTAATTATATATCTGAATAATTCATTAAAAATTAAATGTTATTTAACATAGAATATTTTAAACTTTAAAGTACAAATAAGTGTGTAAAATTTAAAGAAATCTAAATAAATAGACTTGTTTATCAATTTTTATTTTGGCAGTGGAATTTAGTAGATCATAGTACAAGACTATTTGGTAGTATATAAAATGTCTTGATGGGCAGATGAAATTAAAAAAAATAATAATAATTTATTACTGTACATGAATTCATTCAGATAAAATCGACTGAGTTTGACGATATTTTCGTTCTACATTGTATAAATATTTTTATACACACAAACTTGAAGAAAATTAAATTCAAATGTAAAACCATGTAAAGTTTCAAAAGTAAGCACTATTAAATTTTATAATAATAATTTCAAAATTCTATTTTTTAAACGTGATCATAACTAAACAATAAATAAAATAATATTGATTCTATTTTCACGACTACATGTCTTTTGAATTATTTTTTATATATAAGAATACAAAAGTTATTTTTCTGTTTTACCTTTTTTTATGTGTGCATTTATGTCTAAATTAACAGCACACTTATAAAATTCATTTTTTGCTCCTTGTAAATTGTTAAATGATAAATCTTTAATAATATCAATGTTGATATCAGTAATTAATACTGCTGTTGTTGAAAATATAAGTCCCTAAAAAAAAAAAGAAATCTGACATCAATTAACATCACTATCATAAAATCTTCGATGTAGTTTAATAAGTTTGGTTTATGTTTTATTTTCTGGAGTATAAGCTTAGCACCCTCTAAATGCGTTTGTAGCCACTTATTGAATAAAAATTTTTAATTTGCGAATTATAGGACAATTTTACCAATTAAAAGTTATTTTTAACGCAGCGCCTAATAACTCATAGAAGAAAAAAGTACGAATGTTCTTTTTACCATAAGGTTCTTTTTAAATGATTTGATTTGATGTCACTTATAAAGGTACAGTGATTCCAGAACCTTTTTAAAAAATTTTATTTTTATGAAAAATGTTGACGATTTATATTATTTATTTTATTTGACACTGGTGGAAAATTACAAAATAATTTCCATTTAATCTTTTATTATTTTCCACTTCATTGAATTTTTTCAATTTTTTTAACATATTATTCTCAATGCTTTTTTTTTTGAGTATTTGAAATAATTTGCGTAAATGTTAGGTTAAAAGTTAACTGCTTTTTAAAGTTGATGATAAAGCAAGTGAATTATATCTTATAATCTAGTAGGTTTTTTATTTTTTTTCTGTTAAAACTCGAGGATTTACCTTAACCTACCGGTCATTCGCATGACTTGTTAATAGTAAAAAAAAAATCCCAATTCAACATGATTANATCTTATAATCTAGTAGGTTTTTTATTTTTTTTCTGTTAAAACTCGAGGATTTACCTTAACCTACCGGTCATTCGCATGACTTATTAATAGTAAAAAAAAAAATCCCAATTCAACAAGATTGTTTTGTTTACCCCTCTTAATAAAAATGGTAAAAATTATAGGTATAATAATAACAGTAAAAATTATATAATACACTCAGGTTATCATAGTTTATTTAAGAAACACCCGAAGCGTACAATTATTTAAATGGGAAATTTTATATTGATACAATTACCGTTTTACAAAATTGGAGTGTAATTAACTGCGATGAATAATATTACTAAGGGTACATTCTACAAAAAATTTGTGAGTAACACAACGATTGATAGTCNCTGCGATGAATAATATTACTAAGGGTACATTCTACAAAAAATTTGTGAGTAACACATAGAGATGTATAATTTATTTATAAGTAAAGAAGAATTATGTAAATTATTTTTATAAAATGATTCTTTAATTACGAACCACTTATTTAATCGAAAAATGAAAATAATATTTTTTGGCTTCATTCTTATTCCAATTAAGTATAAAAATATTCATAACTTTTGGATTATTATTATTATTATTATTTTGGATAACAAAAGTTGTTATCCACTAGCCAAAAGTAATTATTTTCTTATTTAGATAATTTTCTATTATTTAAACAAGTTGAATAAATATTGCATTAAAAAATTAAAGTTGGCAGCATAATAAAGTATATTGGATTAATATAAAAAACGGTAGCACTGTTAGGTTGTGGCATAGTGGCACAAGTATAGATGATATCTGACAATGATTAAAATCACCGTTATATGAAATGCTTCGATGCAATCTGTTGATGGTGTTTAATTTTAAGAAACTGGTAGATTATTCCAAAAGTAAGGAGGGTAATATCTTTAACTAGACACTAGTTGTGAAAATTGGACGTATTGTTTAAAAAAATTGGTCTAGTGAGAGCTGAGAAAAATGAATGGCAGACACAAAAAATAACCATATAGTAAAATTTTTTAATATGAATAAGAAATTCCTTTTCACTACAGGAGACAAAAGTGTCTTTGATATTCATTGAAGTTATACAATATAAATGAGATAAAAACCAAACGACTTTATATTTTATTTACACTACACAAAGAATTACGAATAAAATACGAAAAAGTTATTTAAGTTTAGACAGGTGGGGTTTGAACTTGAACCCCTGAGTATATTATATTAGACGTAGACATCGTGCATCATATAAAATTGTAGCTAAAAATGTGAATTTTATCTAGCTCATAAATTCAAAGTAGCTTTTTTTCTTAACTTTAGAAAGCAAAATAATCAAAATAAGTTTAAATTTATATTTAATGTAAATTAGATTTATGTATATTACATTTATTGGTGGACTTATTACTATAGCAAATCTTTATAAAGTGTAGTATCACATTTTAATACATGTAATAATTAATACTTATATTTAATAAAATACATCACCAAATCAGTGTTTCCCCGTGGATAAGATGAGTAATAAAATAATACCCTTACACAAGATTTAACCTCCCTCTTACGCATTCCATAAAATGCCCACGTAAAAGATTCTATCACATTAACCAATCAAATACAGCAAAAATATTTCAAGAATCTCACCAGAGATCGCTAAACCAGTTTTTGCAGGCTATAAAAAGGCCATTTTCCCCCAAATTCGGGTGGTTCCTCTGAATATCCCTCTAGCGAATACTGGGACGGCTTGCAATTCTATCTATACATCTCTACGGCTCTCTGGAATACTCAACCAAGATACAGAAAGCGAATGTGCGTGAGTTTATGTCTTATTCTTAGTTACAATTCTATATGAAATCTACATAATTTTTTACCCTCTTTCGTAATTACTGAAAAATATTATACATCTTATTTTCGGTCGAATACTTTTGGTGACATAAATATTCTAATACATATAAAATATTGGTATTTATTTATTTCTTTTATTTACATTTATATTCCTATATATATATAAGCATATTCTAAGGTAATTAATTTGACTGAATTGTACTTATTACTTATTGAAGGGCCATAACCTGGCTGGACAGGGTAATAGTACAATAATATCATAATTAGAATTTTAGTTAATCATAAGATTTATTCATAGTGTCTCTCCACTTATCGACCAGCTAGTCTGATCTATGCCACAGTGCCGGCAATCGGAGTGTAGGACACTTATATAATTTACAACGCATAAATTATTAATATTATTTTGTAGTATACATTAGATATTCTAAGGTAATTAATTTGATTGAATTGTATTTACTACTTATTGAAGGGCCACAACCTGGCTGGACAGGGTAATAGTACAATAATATCATAATTAGAATTTTAGTTAACCATAAGATTTATTCATAGTGTCTCTCCACTTATCGACTAGCTAGTCTGATCTCTGCCACGGTGCGGGCAATCGGAGTGTAGGACACTAACATAACTTATCGTGCATAAATCTATAGTACAGTCGCATCTAACCTAGGTCGTCCTACAGGTGATTGAAAAGAAGTAGGCCACATATCATAAGGTTCTTTGCATAAAGACAAAGATATTATTTGAGATCTCGCGTTGGTACATCCAGCTACGAAATACAAATAAATCAGAGTCGAAATATTATACTAAAAACTAATATTTTACTAATATATATTTATAACTAACATCATACTAAACAACTAAAAGTGTCTCTCCACTTATCGACCAGCTAGTCTGATCTATGCCACAGTGCCGGTGATCGGAGTGTAGGACACTAGTATAATCTATTGTGCAAAGAACTGAAATTGAGCTCGCATCTACCCTAGATCACCATTTGGACGACTGAAAAGACGTAGGCCACTTGGAAATAGTTTTGTTGCACAGGACAGTTATGTTGCTTAGAAGTTATTCATTTGCTTTATAAATTATTAAATAATAAATATATTAACGTAAAACATCATATACAAGGTTAAGAACTATACTACATAAATATACAAAAGGTTTTTGCAAAAAGACAGAGTTATAACAAACTTAGATTTCACCTTGGGTAGATTTAATATAGAATTGTACTAGAAAAGTAGTTACACGCGAGTTAATAATAATATAAACCGTATAAATATAATTGCGTACATTAATGCGTGAACGTATACATCGATAATTGTTACATCAACAACATCGTTCATCTCAAGAGAATATCAGGATAATCAGAGGTAAGTGGAACATTTGTTTACATAATAAGTCTATAATAGATCCTTTACTGAAGAATTTTTTAGTAATAAACAATTAGAATAGGATAAGTCATTAAGAATAAACTGAAATATTTTTATAAAAGGCACGATATTTGTGAATCGCCGGGAATTTGTGTGCGCGTTTCTGTGCAGGAGCTAGGTAGTGACCCTTCTTTGTAATTCCATCTTATTCATACATTAGACGTTTTTACACAAGCATACATACCCCGAGATCCCTTTCTATTTCATTTTATTGCAGTCACTACCGGGTATCTATAGACACTTTTGCTTTCCATTGGTACCCATCCTTTTTACACTACGCCTGCTACGATTATTATTTCCTTATTGGCCACCTGTGTCACATTTCAATACATTCCTTCCCTTTCACACCCCGAGCCCCAAACACATTTAACAACATTCCTTCGCCACCTTATTATAGCCATTTTATTTATTACAAGACTACATACCTACACTCACTCGTTTCTCCTGTGTCCCTTTTTGTTTATTACAAAAGTAATATATAATATAAGCTTTATTTGATAATATGATTGAATCTCAGAATACTTTCAGAACATTTTTAAATCTTTTGTTGAAAAAGTTAAATTTTAAGTGTTTAGTGTAAATATTTAAGTGTTAAAGCATTAAACCAAATGAAAGGTAAATACTTAAAATTTTAATATAAAAAAAATTATTGTGATTCGTTCATTTTTCAAAAAGTTACGGCAATTTTAAGTATTAAAGTATTAACATGTTAAACGGTGTTTTTTACATAAAGATTACATTTTTGTTCAATTCGACGGCCATTTGCCCATAGAAGAATAAGTGTCAGGATAATATTTTTTTAAACATAAGCGACATACATTTATAGCTCAGAGTATTCACGAGACATTTTCAAGAGTTAAGTTTAAAAAAATCTACTTTTTACTAGTATTTTTAAAGTTTTTAACTCCCTTGTATAAACGATCATAGTTCGATTTAAAAAAAAGTATGTCGAATGAAAAAACTAAACATAAAGTATTTATGAAAGAAAAAATGTATTGATCCATGTTTTTTTACTTTAAATTATAACAATTTAAAGTAAAAAAATAAAATATGAAATTGAAAATTTTAACACAAAAATCGTATGTTTTTTAAATACGTCACCCATTTGCAATAGGTGATCGGGACAATTCTTTTTTTTAAACTTTTAGTACATAATATAAGCTTTATTTCAATATATGATTGAAGTTCGGTGTACTTCCATAATATTTTCAAAACTTACGTCGGAAAAGTTAAATTTTAAAGGTATTGGGTAAAGGGTATGATTTTCGAAAATTTTTTAGCAAATGAAAGGAAATTCTTTAGGTTTCAATATGAAAAAAATTATTTTCCAAAAAGTTATAATAATTTGTTTTGCGTGTAGTAGCAACTGTAGGACCGTTAGATTGTCGTTTTGTTATATGCCTGTTTACGACCATTAGAGAAACTGTTAAGAGGTATCACAGGATATTAATTAACCGCAAATCCAATAAATGACCCGTAGACAATAATTAAATAACAAATAACCATATATCTTAAAGGTTCTTCGATGAGTATCATATATTTAAGGGGTTGTAGGAGGCCCTCAAATACATTTGGCCGGCAAAGCGTTATAAAATAAAATAGTCAAACTCAATTAAAACAAAATGATAAATAATATTAAAAAATAATACAAAACTCAGCAGAATAAATTTGGTTGTTGATAGTAATGAGCTCACTGTATGGGGTTTTGTGGAAATGGTGTCGCGCGTCTGGGCATCACGAGTCCGTGTTCGTACCGGTTCGTAATGGAAAACGAAATCAGACGGTGGAAAAGCGACTAAGGCGGTATATTTTTTCAGTGGTGATCAGAGCCCAATCACTGAAGACGTGCAAAAGCACAGGAGTTTTAAACACAAGGGCACTACAAACAAACAATAAAATATGGCGTACTATAGCCTATTAATAGGACACACAATCATAGGTGCTTGTTGTGTATACGAAAGGCGCACAACATGTAAACTTTGATAAACGGCAGCCAATGGACACGAACACCGTCGATTTGCTGTACTGGTGGACGACCGAGTAGTTGATTACAGACGTTAGAGATCAGCTGTCACGTGATATGATGTACACGTCGGTTTTTGTGACAACTGGTTCACTAGGTCTTTATTAAAAGCGCTCTCTAGTAAATATAAATAGTTTTAAAACTATAGAGATACTTAAATTTACAGGTATGATAAAAAATTCTAGTTTTTCGGCTTTCTGAAAAATTTTTAATAAATGGTGTTATCTTATTTTTGCACAAAACCATTCAACTTTTTGATATATTTTCGTGAATATAAAATTGTATTATCATACAATTTATTTATTTTAATATTGTATTTTCATATAGTAAATCACATGTATTATTGTAATACGGTGTATGATAATTTATCGATTTTTTACTTACAACACACAGAATTATTTGTAATCCGTAATGCATATTTTTTCCAAAATGATAAATCTAGAAAAACAATTTTTTTATTGTTCTATTTTTAATAATTTGTAATATTAATTTTTTATTAGAATTATATAGTTTACTATAATGAATAAAAAAAATGTTAAAACACTACGACAGAATTTTACTTATTTAAATTAGCAGGGCTGTTATTTAGTGCTTTAAATTATTTTACAGTATTATAATATGAAATCTATTGTTCATAAATTACATTGATAATAAATGTAATTGTGATTGTTTTATAGGGCTTTAATGTTTTGTAAAATTGTCATTTTAGTGTGTGAAATTAGCAATTAAATGCATTATATTAAGTTAAATGTGTTATATATATACACTGTATAAAGTGAACCACATTTAACAACTTTTGATCCAATTATCACTTCGTAGAAATTCTTTTCTTAAATAATTAATGCCTACTTAGACTACGTTTAAAGTATACATTTTTATTCTTAGTATCTAATAAAATAAATTTATTTCAAAAATATTGATTTTTTTATTTCTTTCAAATTTTAATAAAATTCATTTATTAGACCTCTGTTAAAGAAAATTTTGATGTGTCAATAACAATCTTAGGACACATATACATAGAGTTATAACCATTAATATATAAAGTTTGTATACACTGCATAATTCATCTGCATTCCATACTCACTCTATATATTAAGACAATTGTAACTCAAAAAGTATTCGTTTTAAAATTTTTTTTAATCCATCCACATTTTCCGTAAGATAAAGACTAAAAAATTAATATTAAAATTATGGAAAAAATGGTATTTTTACCAATTTTTCTGTAAGTTACAAATAATAAAATATATGCTTTAAAATTAGTTTAAGGAAGCAATACTAATTTTAAAAAAACCCAGCACAGTAGGATCGCGGCATAGTGTGACGTGGTGTAGTTGGATCAAGTATAATGATATCTGACAGTGATTAAAATCACTATAAAAAAAAAACGCTTCGATGCAAATCTTTAGATAGTGTTTAATTTTAAAAAATTGGTGGATTATTCCAAAAGCTACATGATCTGCTAGTTCATTATTAATATCCTAATTAAGATAAAGTATGTCGAATGAAAAAGGGATTATTAGAAAATAGTATTTCTTATAAAAAAANGAATGAAAAAGGGATTATTAAAAAATATTATTTCTTATAAAAAAATAATGTTGATCCATACACTTTTAAATATGTCATAGCATTATAAAGTTAAAAATGTAAAAAATAAAATCGAGAATTTTCACATAATAATAGCTTTTGGTAGCCATTTTCACCGTGAAGATAAAATAAAGTCCAAAATTTTTTTTTACCATAATGAAGTATACTACATTAGCTTTAATTTAAGATATATATAAAAGTGTCAGACCTTCCGGAACACTTTCAAAATTTAAGTTGAAAAAGTTTTACTTTCTACATGCATTTTTTAGATTTGAACCCCCCTCGTATATAGGGAAATGGTCCGATTTAAAAAAACAGTATAAAAAATTGTATACATAAAATTGTATATATAAAACAGTATAAAAANAATACTACTCCTCATAAAAAAATTGTACTGATCCATAGATTTTTCAAAAAGTTATAGCATTATAAAGTTAAAAATATAAAAAAGAATTTTTTTACAAAAATCGTATTTTTTTTATTAACTTTGATGTCTGTTTTCACCATGAAGACAAAATAAAGTCCGAAATCATTTTTTTTCATAATAAAGTATATTAAATTAGCTTTAATTGAAGATATATATAAAAGTGTCAGACTTTCCGGAACGCTATCAAAAGTTATGTGTAAAAGTAAATTATTTGTGAAAAAATTTTCATTTTAAATCCCTCTCTGTGGGCAAATAAAGGGTCAGATTTATAAAAAGAATATACCACCAAATGATAGGTAAAGACATCAAGCATCTATAAAAAAGACGATTTATTGATTTGTTCATTTTTGAATAACCATAACTTGGTAGTTTTTAGTAAAAAAAATTGAAAAAATTTTGTAAATTAGCAATTTTTTAATTTGGAATTTTTTTTGGAGATTTCCCCTATTTACGGGGAACGAGGAAAATTTTTTCAATATTTGAGGGTAATGTCTTGACTAGATACGATTTGTGATCTTTGACGTATCGTTAAAAAAAAAACGTTTCGGCGAGAGCTGAGAAAAAGTGATAACAGACACACAAAAAAAAAATATACATCAACAAAATAATAATTGTATCAAAAGTAATAGCATTAAAAGTTATGTCCGAAATACTTTGTATATCAATGTTATTATAACAATAATTATTTCTAAGGTTAAATTTATAATGTAAATTTCAAATGTTAAACGGGACCGTTTTAATATTTATTTATTAATAATGGAGAATGGGCTAAATATAATTTTTAGTGATCGATAACCAGTTTGTTTTTGAAGATTTAGAAAAGGTAAGAAGCAGGTTAGTAGTAAGCTACAATCTAGTTTTACCACTACGCACAAATAAAAATTCTTTTGCGTTGCGCATCCCATTAACTTATAATTTAAATTATAACTCCAAAAACTATTATAAAAAATTGGTTATCGTCCAGACAACATTTTATTTAGTCCGTTTTCCATTTAATAGTGAAAGGAATAATAGGTTACCATTCTACTTTCGGAAGTTACCCTTAAAATATATCTTTAGGAATAAATTTTATATTATGATAAACTTTATACTTACAATAATAGTTTGTAAAAATAAATAAAATTTAATCTATACATTTTTATAAAAATTCATTATTTAAGAAAAAACGAAGGGTGAGTATGCTTAATAAATCCCACTGTAGAAAAGCTAAATATTTATTATTCTTATAAAATTTTTCATTTAAAATTAAAAAGAACAATTTTTCAATACTTCATCAAAAAAATAAGAATTCTACATAAGTTAGAATAATTTTTAAAGTAAAGCGCATTAATTTTCAAGTGATAGGTGGTATTATTATAATTTTGGGTAATACCATGCATAAGATTTTTTAAACAAAATTGATAATTAAAAATTTAATTATAAGTTACTAAATATAATTTTAGCTCGACATAAAAAAAATTAACTCTATTCAAGCAAAATGCAATTTACAGTATATAATTAAAATTATGTGCTCGTCAATCTTTCCTATAGAGCAAAATAATTCATAACCATTCAACATACTAAAATATTTAACTCAGTAAGTATTTATATTAACATTGTTATCGGCTCATTAAAATTTTTTACAAGAAAAATAGTAAAAATTGACCGTTTTAAAATTTTTAATGAATATAAAAATGAAATAAATATACATATTTTTTATTATTAAAAACAATAATAATTAAAAATATTATTTTAAAGTAGTCTAAGAATGCATAAATTATTTAAAAAATGTACATTGAAATATATATTGTATTAAAGTTATAAGAGTTGTGTATTATATCTATTCCTATCTTTATATAACAAATTTTTATAACGTAGTTACCTGAATGATTGACCAATTATTTAAGTTGAGAAAAGTAATTTTATATATTTAGTTTAACAAGTAAAATAAATTCGTTATTGTTCAACGTTTTATATATTATTTTTATCAAGTGAAATTTATTTTAAAAAATCTAATAAACAAACTTCCATAAGTAATAACCAATAATAGAGTTTTAAAATAATTTTCCTTTTAAACAACTTTTTTTAGACGTTACTATTATGACTTCATTAGTATATCCAACAACAAAAAATGTATAATATTATTTTTACTGTGTATAGCATTTAAAAAAATAATAAATCAAGAAACAGGCGGTACGATTAAAATTTTATTTTTTGTACAACGATTTTACATTTTAGCTTAAACAATAAACAAAGATGGTATGGTCTAGTGATAGTATGTGTTTTTTATATGCCTGTCCATAAAAATTCTCAGTTCTCACATGATCAATTTTAATGACCAATGAATCTTTCTTCTAAAAAAATTATTATAAATATTGGAATAGATTAAATTTCCATATTAATGCAATTAACAAAATGACTGGCGATAACATCTTTGAGACCTGTATTAAGATAGTTATAAATATTTTTATAAAGAAGTAAGAAGAAAAGCACGACAGCATTTCACACAGGCGTTATCGCCGTGGTGTTAGGTTCAACAAATGCCTAGTGTCAATACCCATCGCAATTATGCGTAAGTCAGTCACCTCCGTGACACCCCAAAGAACCGTATCGGTCCATCCGACGTACCTTTCAACCGAATATATCGTCTGGACCACAAACAGCAGACAGCGTTTGTACGAAATCTATACTTATATTTTATTTGTTGTATTTTTCTTGTACACCGGAACTACTCACAATCAATTTTAAATAAACACCACGAGCCGAAAAATCTAAATTGTGTCGTCTACGTTATTTCAAAGCAACACCTAACAAGTTTTAAAATAATTTTTCTTTTAACACATATTTTTTAAATGTTTTTTTTTCAAATATTATATCATAAACATAAATGTTATCTATTACCGGTAATTGGGTCATAATATCTTACTATTTTCAAAAATATACTCATACGTTTACTTTGTTAATTACCTTCATTTAATCTAAAAGTGANGTTTTCCATTTAATAGTGAAAGGAATAATAGGTTACCATTCTACTTTCGGAAGTTACCCTTAAAATATATCTTTAGGAATAAATTTTATATTATGATAAACTTTATACTTACAATAATAGTTTGTAAAAATAAATAAAATTTAATCTATACATTTTTATAAAAATTCATTATTTAAGAAAAAACGAAGGGTGAATATGCTTAATAAATCCCACTGTAGAAAAGCTAAATATTTATTATTCTTATAAAATTTTTCATTTAAAATTAAAAAGGACAATTTTTCAATACTTCATCAAAAAAATAAGAATTCTACATAAGTTAGAATAATTTTTAAAGTAAAGCGCATTAATTTTCAAGTGATAGGTGGTATTATTATAATTTTGGGTAATACCATGCATAAGATTTTTTAAACAAAATTGATAATTAAAAATTTAATTATAAGTTACTAAATATAATTTTAGCTCGACATAAAAAAAATTAACTCTATTCAAGCAAAATGCAATTTACAGTATATAATTAAAATTATGTGCTCGTCAATCTTTCCTATAGAGCAAAATAATTCATAACCATTCAACATACTAAAATATTTAACTCAGTAAGTATTTATATTAACATTGTTATCGGCTCATTAAAATTTTTTACAAGAAAAATAGTAAAAATTGACCGTTTTAAAATTTTTAATGAATATAAAAATGAAATAAATATACATATTTTTTATTATTAAAAACAATAATAATTAAAAATATTATTTTAAAGTAGTCTAAGAATGCATAAATTATTTAAAAAATGTACATTGAAATATATATTGTATTAAAGTTATAAGAGTTGTGTATTATATCTATTCCTATCTTTATATAACAAATTTTTATAACGTAGTTACCTGAATGATTGACCAATTATTTAAGTTGAGAAAAGTAATTTTATATATTTAGTTTAACAAGTAAAATAAATTCGTTATTGTTCAACGTTTTATATATTATTTTTATCAAGTGAAATTTATTTTAAAAAATCTAATAAACAAACTTCCATAAGTAATAACCAATAATAGAGTTTTAAAATAATTTTCCTTTTAAACAACTTTTTTTAGACGTTACTATTATGACTTCATTAGTATATCCAACAACAAAAAATGTATAATATTATTTTTACTGTGTATAGCATTTAAAAAAATAATAAATCAAGAAACAGGCGGTACGATTAAAATTTTATTTTTTGTACAACGATTTTACATTTTAGCTTAAACAATAAACAAAGATGGTATGGTCTAGTGATAGTATGTGTTTTTTATATGCCTGTCCATAAAAATTCTCAGTTCTCACATGATCAATTTTAATGACCAATGAATCTTTCTTCTAAAAAAATTATTATAAATATTGGAATAGATTAAATTTCCATATTAATGCAATTAACAAAATGACTGGCGATAACATCTTTGAGACCTGTATTAAGATAGTTATAAATATTTTTATAAAGAAGTAAGAAGAAAAGCACGACAGCATTTCACACAGGCGTTATCGCCGTGGTGTTAGGTTCAACAAATGCCTAGTGTCAATACCCATCGCAATTATGCGTAAGTCAGTCACCTCCGTGACACCCCAAAGAACCGTATCGGTCCATCCGACGTACCTTTCAACCGAATATATCGTCTGGACCACAAACAGCAGACAGCGTTTGTACGAAATCTGTACTTATATTTTATTTGTTGTATTTTTCTTGTACACCGGAACTACTCACAATCAATTTTAAATAAACACCACGAGCCAAAAAATCTAAATTGTGTCGTCTACGTTATTTCAAAGCAACACCTAACAAGTTTTAAAATAATTTTTCTTTTAACACATATTTTTTAAATGTTTTTTTTTCAAATATTATATCATAAACATAAATGTTATCTATTACCGGTAATTGGGTCATAATATCTTACTATTTTCAAAAATATACTCATACGTTTACTTTGTTAATTACCTTCATTTAATCTAAAAGTGACTTATAATTACTATCAAATTTATAAAGTTCATGATCCTTGCTTTAGAACTACAGTTCAATGTGATTGCTTTTACCTCAACACCATACGAGTCTTAGAACTCATTAGTCGATAAAGTCGACGGTATATGAACAAGATAATACTGTTTATTGTGCGTTAGACGATTGGGGTTTATTAAATATAGCCTAATCTCTATGATGTGATAATACCGCATTTAATATAGGACGTTTAAAAGGTTGGTGTCTTTTTTTGTTCTAAAAAAATACTAGAGTAAAAATTAGAGAAAGATTTATGGTTTTTACCAACGCCATCACATCTATGAACTGATTTACGCGGTGTTTTTGAAACAAAACTACTTCAGATAAAATCATGATATTCTCATGTTTAAAAACTTTTAAAAAATTGGAATAAAATTGATGTTTCTAATACGACCTATGGAATGGATGACGTCGAATGTTGCTTTGCACTAGAAAATTTTCGAAATGATATTTTCCAGTTATCTCGGGAAATGTTGCAAATCAGATATTTTAGAGNATCTCGGGAAATGTTGCGAATCAGATATTTTAGAAACAATAATAAATGATTGCTAGAGTTATCTGTAATTTTTTTAAATAGTGACTCCGATAAAAGAATAAATATACACCCTTCTGGAGCTATGCACTAAACTCGTTGGATGAGCGAAACAATATATTGCTAAATTAATTTTAAAAAATTTAATACAAAAATTGTTGATATCTATCTTTTTATGAGTAATTGANCTCATGTTTAAAAACTTTTAAAAAATTGGAATAAAATTGATGTTTCTAATACGACCTATGGAATGGATGACGTCGAATGTTGCATTGCACTAGAAAATGTTCGAAATGATATTTTCCAGTTATCTCGGGAAATGTTGCGAATCAGATATTTTAGAAACAATAATAAATGATTGCTAGAGTTATCTGTAATTTTTTTAAATAGTGACTCCGATAAAAGAATAAATATACACCCTTCTGGAGCTATGCACTAAACACGTTGGATGAGCGAAACAATATATTGCTAAATTAATTTTAAAAAATTTAATACAAAAATTGTTGATATCTATCTTTTCATGAGTAATTGATTTTTTTTTTTTAAAAAACTGTAGCTTCTTATTTGTCGAAGAGCAGTATGTGATTTTTTTAACGATTCCATATCAATATTGATGATTTTTATTTACACGGAAAAAAAATTGTATGCTTACTTAAAGTACTACATGATTCGACTGAGAGAGCATAATGGAAGATTTTCATGATAGTTTAACAGTAAAAAGCTGAGTTACTTTTACGCTATGTCCAAGAGCATAGATAATTATATCCTAATTGCAAAAAAGAATCATTAAAACCTAATTATTATTTATATTTTTGTTATAATTTGGGAATTATTTTGAATTTAACATTTTATAATTTATGTAGCAATTTTTTTAATTTATACAATATTGAAAAATAAGTATACTAATGCGTTAAACCAATAAAATACATCAATTTACAATTAAATAAACAATTTTAATTAAATACATATAATTCTATCGTTTGATAAATAAGGTATTCTTTGCGTAGAGTATACCTTAATTATCACATACCAGATGATAACTAACGGAATCTAACAATAAAACTCATATATTTAGTAAAAACCGTAATATGATCTAGCTATCTCAGCTATAGCAATAAAACTATTGGTTCAATTAAATTTTTACTTATTACCTTTATTTTGCAAAATTTAATTTTAAACAAATTTTGTATGAAATATTAGGTCGTATTACATATGGTTCGTCAGATATGATGAAGTATTAGTAAATATGCCAATTTCGACAATTTTACGAAATATTACGTATTTTGACATTTTTTCTGTAAAACTAATAGATTTAAAAGAAAAACTGTTAGAATTTAATTTATACAAAAAAATTAAATTTACAATTTAGTTTCTATAATTTTTTTTGTGATAACACTAATTTACGAGTTAATTGCTAAAAACTAAAAAACTACTCTTTTTGGCCAATTTTCAACCCCAAGTCAGCATGAGTTAAACTTATCTGATTGACCTGAAATTTTTTGTAANAATAGATTTATAAGAAAAACTGTTAGAATTTAATTTATACAAAACAATTAAATTTACAATTTAGTTTCTATAATTTTTTTTGTGATAACACTAATTTACGAGTTGATTGCTAAAAACTAAAAAACTACTCTTTTTGGCCAATTTTCAACCCCAAGTCGGCATGAGTTAAACTTATCTGATTGACCTGAAATTTTTTGTAGGCACTTTTTATATGTATACACACAAATTTAGGGGGTGAGCCTGAAGAATTTCTAAAATTTTAAAAATAAGGGACACCCTAGTGCAAATGTTTATTATTCTTACAACCGTTCCCATCGAATTAATCAATTATTAATGAATTATCTTAAAATCGCCTTTTCACCAAAGTCTTTACATACCAATAAGTAAGTAAAAACCCTATTTTGACTACGGGTAATTAAATATAATAACTATAATAGAGTAATTAAATATAGTGAATAATAAATAGTAGTTGTTGTAAATTGGTTCAATAAATAAATTAATAAAATTATTATATAGATGTTCAAAAAGTAAAGAAACAGGTCAATTATTACAAAAATGAGTGAAAGTGAAATCTTACTTTAATTATAATTTTTAATTGTAAGCCTGCGGTTTTTCCGTGCTCGTACACAGATGGAACATAACATCTAAAAGTTTATCGGTCGGTGAATATTACTATTATCATTTTTTTTACTCGTATGACAACCGAACCGGACCAGTAGTTAATAGAGTAATTAAAATAGTCATTATTTCATAAAATTTAATTAAATGATTCCTATTTTATAAAATATTATACAATATAACTTACCTTTTGATTGTCATCGTAATAGATTTGCGATCAAAACAACTTAATATTTTTCTAAAAATCTTGGTTAAACATTTAAATAAATCTTTTCTAATCTATTCATGAGCTCACGTTCATATTTATTGAACGGTACGAAAATGTCATTTATTTTTTCCAAATAAAACGTAAGTGAGAACAACTTCAAATTTTTGATAAATTTGAACGATTCAACAGCGTTCAAACAATTAACGAAAATATAGTAAATTTTACAAGCTTATGATACACAGAAAAAAACATTAGTACAATCAACAAATGTATTGTTAATATTCAGTGGAATTAATTTTTTTGTTGATTAAACAAAAATTTTGGATAGTACATTAAAAAATTTATCAAGTAAACAAATATTTTGTTCCGGTGATAAAAAATGATTGATTTAACAATAAAAATATTGTCAAACGTATATGTTTTTTCAGTGTAAATATACATGAATAATGAATAAAATAAAAACATTTGTTTAAGTAATCAATATCAACCAGTTATAATATAGGGCACGGGATAAAAGCTCTATTAACTTAAAGGTCGAATGATGATTTTCAAAAATATGCTGAAGTGTAATGAAGGGGTGATGAGAAGTATAAATCCCTAAAACAAAAATGTTTACATGAAGAATATATAAAAATTTTTGGCGGAAGTTATGATCATTTTTTTTTTTTTGCTTCGATGCGAATCTGAGAAGGTATTAATTTTACTATGATGTGTTTATTTATTTATTTTTTTTGTGTCTGTCATTACTATTTTTCAGCTCTCACTGGACCGATTTTTCATAACCATACGTTAAAAGATCACAATTCGTATCTAGTCGAAGACATTACCCTCAATAATTGAAAAAAAAACCCAGCACAGGGGAGTCGGGCCACAGTGATGATGTGGCATAGTTGGATCATGTATATTGATATCTGACAGTGATTAAAATCACTATAAAAAAAACGCTTCTGTCGTAATATAATCGTCACTACTATTTATATGGGATAACACTAAAATACCCTGTTCATGTACTCAACAATGCTATCTTATTAGTATTTACTAGTATATTATTTTTTCATTTCAAA